CAGGAATTAATATTATTATTAAGGAAGAAATTTTTAAAATAATTCATTCAGCACTAAATATGTGACAGACATTATAACAGGTTCTTTGAGAAATGCCAATTTGCTGYGCATTTAACAGCTCAGGAACCAGGATCAGAAAACTCAGGTGACCACCTCAAGATCACACAGCCATCAAAGAGGAAAAGACTGCATTTGAATCTAGATCTAAGGAAGTTGAATATGGGAGAAAAGGCAAAGGTTTTGAAGCCATATGACTTGGATTTGAACTCAGGTTTATTGTGAAATTTCAGGTGTGACCATGAGTCAGGTCACTTGTCTTCCACAAGCCTCAGTACAATGAAGAAAATAATATGTACCTTGCAGGGTTAATAAAAGGATTAAATTATGTATCATACAAAACAATAGGAACATAGTAGATAACCCAAAACAGTCAGATCCTCTACTATAGCTTGTGGTAGTGGTATAGTCCATTGTCTGTTGCTATAACAAAATACATGAGTCCAGATAAATTATAAAGAAAAGAAGTTTATGAACTTTTTTCCTTTATAAAAGAAAAGAACTTTTTGCTGATGGAGGCTCTATAGAGTTCTGAGATGTTGTAGGGCATCTGTGGTGAGATAGCATAATCGGGGTCTCACTTTGCCTTCTTATAAAACCACTAAGGCTATCATGGGGGTCACACCCTCATGATTTTATCTAATCCTAATGGCCTCCTAAGGGCCCCTCCTCAAAATATCACTAATACATGACTTTAAGGATTAAGTTTCCAACACTTGAATTCCAGGTGATACACCCAAACTATCTAGGAAAGCCAAGGTAAGAACAAGACCCTAACACTAGCAAAAACTGCTTTAAACATTGTTTTTCAATTTCAACAAAGAAAAAATAATATAGACTTATGTGATTGCTTAAAATTAAGTAAACATATCAGCTAAAAGATCTGCTTCTCTCAATCTGAGCTTATTAGTAGGACATCTTGGGATGCCTGTGCTCACCATTGGACATGGGATGTAGAACAAATCAAGTTAAGAATGGGCTTGTTAGCAGGTCTAAATTGAGCCAGAAACCCATTGTGTGTGTGAGAGAATATATATAAGATTAAAGAATTCTGATTTGAATTTAAATCCGCTGACTTATATTCTTAAATCAGTATTCAGACATGACTAAAAGTACTTCTCAGGAACAATTACATCTTAGGAGTCAACCACACCTTGAGTCAAGTCTCCTCCTTCAATTTTCTAGATAAGTGACCTTGACCAAACTTTCCAGACTCCCCAAACCTGTTTTCCTCATCTGTCAAATGACCACAATAATAACTACCTAATAGTTTGGTTACAAATAATAAATGCAATTATATATGTATAGTGCTTAATGTTAATAGCATTTATATAACATTTGTTATGTGCCAATCACTAGTTTTAGTTCTTGAATTGTATTTATTTAACTTAGTATAGTCTTCACAACAACTTTATGAAATAGGTTCTATTATGATGATGATTTTACCAATGAAGTAATTGAAACTCAGAGATGTTGAGWAACTTGCCCAAGATCATACAAGTAATAGGTGTTGGAGCTATATTCAGACTCAGGCAGCTTGATTCCTGAGGTTGTGCTTGTAATCTGTCCCTAGTAAATGTCCAATACCTAGTATTTGTAATTATTTTCAGAGAATAATCAATCCTTTAATTTTACATCATTTAATTTGCTTTAAATTTAAGAGAACTTTGCCCAAAAAACTAAATCAAATATATTCTATAAACAGTAATGGTTTCATAAAAATCATCTGAATGATGAGTGGTCTCAGTTTGAACTTAATTTTAACTATAAATTATATTTTAATGATGAATTACTGTGGTGATAGAAATAAATAGGTAATGTAAATTAAATAATTATATGACCATAAAACTAAGAAATGCATATTAAAAATCATAAGGGTMAGGCTTGGTGGTGCACACCTGTAATCTCAGCGGCCCAGGAGGCTGAGGCAGGAGGATCATTAGTTCAAAGCCAGCCTCATCAACAGCTAGGTGCTATGCAAATAAGTGAGACTCTGTCTCTAAATAAAATACAAAAAAAGGGGGGGTAGGGATATAGCTCAGTGGTTGAGCGCTCCTGAGTTCAATCCCTTGTACCCATTCCCTCCCCTCAAAAAAGTCACAAGGCTGGGGAATATATTTACTAGGTAAAGAGTGCCATTCTTCTTGTTTTTAAAATACATAATGTTTTGTAGATATTTTTGGCTCAAAAGTTACCCTTAATATAAAATACAATAAATTTTGAAACATTCTTCAAAAATGTCATAACAATGTATTCTTTTCTAATCTTAAGATGATTACAGTGTATGGGAAATCTCATCATCTAGTTAACATGTTTTATCTTCTCTTCAACATATGCTTATCCAAACATTTCTTCATTTAACATGTATTGAGCACACAGGCTCACTGTACTGGCTACTGGAAGATATCCAAAGAAAAAGACAACCCTCTGTGAAAGCATTCAGAGATTATAAGAGAMTTACATTACTGTGATTGGTGTTCCCACAGTAAAAATTTGATAGCTCAATACGGAAACAGGTGGAGAAGGTAAGAGAGGAAGAACACTCAGGTAAGCAGGTTTTGTGTGGCAAAGRCCTAAAGTAGAGTGAGAGGGATTTGTTATAATTGATATTGCCTCCTAGAATGGAAATAAAAGAGGGACTACAAGAAAGATATGGGGCATATAATGTCTCCTATGCAATGCCCTGGAGTTTAGAGATTTAAGAATTGTAATCATGAGAATGGCTAAACATGTTCAGATCTGTTTTCGACTTTCCCGGAATGAATATGAAAGCTGAATTGAATTTAAGAAACTYGGAGGCAAAGAATAATTCAGAAGACTAACTGCTCTTGCTATCACAGGAAAAATTATAAYAGTCTGAACAGTTAGTAATGGAAATTCAGAAAGAAAGGGACCACAATAAACTAACTCTGCCCTAGATCCCAGTCCTTCCAGTGTACTAAAGAAACTGCTGCTCACATTTTTCTCAATCTCACATGTATGATTTATTAATAATCCAGAAACAATTAGTTAGGACTAATATTTATTGTGTTATTACTCTGTGCCAGGCACTGTAACAATGCTTTATAAACATTACCTAATTGTTACTTTACTAATAAATAATTTGAGCACAGAGAGTTGAAGCAACTTGCCAAGTCACACAGTTGGTCAATAGCAGAGACAATATCCAAACCCCTTCTGTCTGAATTCTTTTTTCTACTACCTTCCCCCAAACTGTTTCTCATTCATTCAGTTATCACTGATCTTAAATTCCAGTCTTTTAATTTTTTAGTATGAATCCTCCAGTCCTTTCTTAAAAAGAGAGAGGTAACCTRTTTATTTGCCCTCTAGTCTTTTCAATTATGCAATCTATTTCCTTCCCCATAATGTTAGTCTTGAATCCATAGCAATATGGATATTATCAACAGCCCTTTCTCTTTAAGTTTCAGACTTTTGGTTCTATGCTTACTAAATTTACAATAATTATTGTGTTGGCAAATTCAAAATATTTTTGCCATTTTCCCCTTGTATTCATCAAAGTACCTTGCATTATTAACCACTTTTTCTTCTCAAAACTATTTCTCCCTATCAGTGCTACAAAACTCAGGTCTCCACACTCCTGTGTCATTCCAGCAGTTCCTTTTCTGTCTCTTTCACCAGAAGGAACTGGTCCTTTTCTTTTTTGCTCTATGTGTGTTATTAGAGGTGATGGATTTTCATTTCTCTCTCTCTCTCTCTCTCTCTCTCTCTCTCTCTCTCTCTCTCTCGGCGGGAGGGTCCTTTATATTACAGTTTAACTTATTATGCTACAATATAAATATCTTCCTGTCTTAATTTCTCAACATTTTTTTGGAGACCCAATTTCAAATCAGCTTTGAAGACTTCTGCTTCAGTAGCTTGCCAACAATATGTATTTTACAAAGCCTTCCCCAAACACTTCCCCTTCCTTAATTGACTTGCCTTCCCCAAGGTCTCCTGCAAGCAGGCAAAGAACATATTTAAAGGATTCCTTTCACTGTTAGTCTTTTGCCTAACTCCCATCTCTTTCCTCAAGAGCTTTTCTTTTCCCTCCCTCCCTTCCCTCTTCTTTCATTTTTTTTTTCTGAAAATAAATGCCTATCAATACAACTGGCAAAATTAAAATTGAAGTTTGCCACTGTTAACCTAAGAAAGAGACCAATCAGCAGACTAGCGCTAGTTGAATCCATCTCTCACAAAGCTGGGACTTCAGTTCCTGGAGGGCAAAGAACCTCTGTCCTGTATTTTAAAAGCCAGTGTGATTCAGCGAGTAAGCATTCATTCCATTAAAGCAAAACTTCGCCAGCGACTCAGAAGCTCTGTGCGAGTAGATGATGACAGTTCTTGTGGTGCACTTAAGATGACGAACAATTGACTGTGATCCAAAACACAAATGCTAACAGGATTCTTAAAGTTCCAGGCTTGAAATAATAGAAGTCAAGGTTTTCAGAGTTCTATTGACTTATTTCCATTATCTGCACAAATTGTCAAAAACGCAAGTAAAAACAAAAAATTAAAAACCACGTTGTTCSTTATGTTTTCTTTCCCTCACCTCCACCCTAATGGTCACGAAACGGAACTCACACAAGAACATAAGAGACAAAAGAGCAAAATTTTGCTCTTCTGCTTGTTTTTGTTTGTTGGGAGGCCGGAGAGTCATTTAAGCTCCCGAGTCTAGCTCTCTCTTCTCTGGGGTTGGTCTTTAGGACACTGAAGGAAACTCTTTGAGAAAGAACTTTTCTGCTCTTCCTCCACTCGTGCAGAGGCTGGGGGGAGGCTCTGACCCAGGATCGGCGGAGTCTGCAAGTCTGGAGGGAAAAGATCACGGAGCTCGGACGGAGCCCGGGGAGCGCTCAGGGGCAGGTGACACAGTGCGGGTTCCCCGGCGCTGGCTTGACAGTTTCATCCCCGCCCACTGGCAGGAGACCGCGGGGCCAGGCAGCAAGCGAGCGCTCAGGGGGCCATAAAAGCTGCGGCCGCGCAGAGACACGGAGCTCGCCCACCGCCCGCTGCAGCTGCGACCACACCATGCATGTGAACGGCAAAGTGGCGCTGGTGACCGGCGCAGCGCAGGGAATAGGCAGAGCCTTTGCAGAGGCGCTGCTGCACAAGGGCGCCAAGGTAAGCGCAGCTCCCGGCCGCTGAAACTTCTCTGCCCACTCCAAAGTTCGCCCACCGCCTGGGGGGCGCCAGGAAAGATCGCGAGGCGCACCGGGCGCGCATGCCTTGCCATTTCCAAAAGCTGCTCAGGCTGAGACCCTTGAGCAGACCTCGAAAGCTACCAGTGGAGAATCCGAACTTTAACTGCCTTATTTCAGGTCTAAGAGAGGAGCGTCTTATTTATTTATTGTTTGGTCTATTTCATGAGCTGCGCAGGACCTTGATGCCTCTCCTCTTGTTTATAGGTAGCGCTGGTGGATTGGAATCTTGAAGCAGGTATGGAGTGTAAAGCTGCCCTAGACGAGCAGTTTGAACCTCAGAAGACTCTCTTCATCAAGTGTGATGTGGCTGACCAGGAACAACTGAGAGGTAAGTCAGGGGAATCAATCCATCAACTGGGAACACTCCCTGAACAAGCAACAACCTGAAGGCAACGCTGGCAAGAGAGCCAGCCAAGGCAGAGGGCCAGCCGGTCTGGCTACCTCGTGCAGCAAGCTCCAAAATGTGGGTTAGACTGTTATGTTTCCTATTGACAACCCAATAGCCATAAAAACCAAGGAAAGGCAAAACGGCTTGAGAAATCTTTTTAGTTTAGTCATTTGGCAGCGCATAATGTAATCAAAACTTCTTTGTATATCCAAACACAGCTCTGCCTCAATGATTATTAAATAATTGAAATTGCAGACAGAATTTCGAAGTTAAAATCAGGAACTGTGGCAAACACAACTTCTCTTAGAGAGCTGGAAGATGTGAAGTTCAATGACAATCAAATGTCACTTTTTTTTTTCTTTAAACCTATTAGAACACAAATTCTAGAATCATGGTCACAGATGTGCTAGATGCTTTTAACCAGGCATTTTGTCCCCCCACCCCCATGAAGTGGTACTTACTAATAACAATATAATGTTAGAGTTGCAGAAGAAAGGTCTCTATCAGCTTTTCATCAATGTTTTGTTTATCTATTTGTGAAATATCAGGGATAATATTAGTATAGACACTTAACAAACAGCTTCCATGGTATAGAATGCTAGATTTGCATGAAAAAAAAATTCCTGGAGGAAAAAAAATAGAAAGATAAAATATTTTTATTTCACAAAGTTTTATTTAAAGATACTGAGCAATTACTAGGCATATTTTTAATCCAGTGGTCAGAAAGCTTCCAGAAAATTCATTCATGCTCCTATTAAAAAGAACACCAAAGAGTGAATTCCTTTTAAAATTTTGGTATATTCTATAAGAATGGAAATGGACTGGTGTGTTAAAGAAAGTGTACCTAAAGTTAAGGAAAATAGTTTTAAAGGAAATTTTATCATCAAAATCTGAAAATAATAATAAAGACCTATAATATAGATTACAAGCATCAGTAGAACAGACCTATAATATAGATTACAAGCATGAGTAGAACAAGTCTATAAAGACAGTGCTAGTAGAACATATTTTGCCAGAAGATAATTGTGTTGATTCCACATTATATTTTGGTTCAAGGATAGAGTCATGTCAAATCCCAGCATTCATGCTGGTAGAATAGGAAACAATATAGATAATCTGAAAGCCATTTCTGTCTCAAGTTATGTGGTTTCACACATTATGTTTAACCTCACTTGTTTTGTTTCCCAGTATTTAAAACTAGTCCCTAGGCTGTAAATACATGCCTTCAGGATAAATGATTGAGGAGGAAACGACATAATAATTGACTGGAGGAGGCATGTTTGTACCAAGAAATCTACATGTTGTCTGGACATGATCATTTATTTGTATCAAAGGAAATTATGGCACTGATTCTGTCAGTTTCAAAACTTAATGTTGCCTACAGCTTTTAAAACTGTTTAGACACATTAAAATGTTTAAATGCAGAGCTGAAGATTTGGGGAATTGATATAAACATAACTTATTTTATAAATTAACAGACTGCAACACAGAGTTTAGGTAAATTATAAAGAGTAAGTACCATAGCATATAAAATATAAGTCACTTGAGCCCAGAACTCAGTGTGATGTCAGAAATAGTATGATGAATTATACATTGGTGAAAGCAGAATATAAGGAATGCACTGGAGACTGGAATGAAGAAAGCAAATTAAGGAAAAATAGACATACACATTAACAACCTAATTTCCCATAAAGTGGGGCTGTGTCTGTAGAATAACAAAGAATAGAACATACTTAGCAAGAAAGGGGAAAAATAAAGAAATAATATTTCCTGGATGACCTCTTCTGAATCTAATTTGAGGTCTTAAGAAACAGTTGAAGTTCTATGAAAAAGTTTTTATTTATTTTTGTTGTTGTTTTMCATTCTAGTTTAGTGAGTATAAAAGGGCTTGTATTAGAAAGTCTACAATKTCTTTAGCAATTAACTTGCAAAGTAATTTATTCATAGAGGAACTGACTGACCCATGTCTTCCCAAATGTTTGGTAGTTGTTAATTCTAAGAATTGGTTTCAATCAAAATAAAGCTTGTGTTGATCTACTTTTTGAAAGGAACTCATATGTTATTCTAGACATATGAGAAGAACAACCACAAATGTCATCTATAGTCTCAAGTAATAGAACTAGAATGAATGGTAGGAGGCCTACAGAGGCAGTTTAAATCAATAGAGCTACATAAAAGTCTGCTTTGAGAAATAATGAATTTCTCAGTAYTAAGGTGGTAAAGCCTGGTTTGGACTGGTAAAGAGCTTTTTCAAGAATTGGATATTTGGTTAGATGATGTAATGAGTAGCATTCAGGCCTTAGAATCTATGCAGATTTACCCTGATTACATATACTTTTATACAAACTAATAATATAAAGTAGTATTAAAATGAGAAAGAAAAACTTAAACAGTATGCATGAAGGTTTTATTAACCTAATGGAATCAATTGAATGAGAAGGACACTTTCATTTACTAGGATATCAAAACTCCCTAAAAATATCATAATGGATTTGGAAAATAAGAAAACTGGTATTAATACAACATATTATAAATATAATATGCCTTATTTTAAAAGGATGTCTATTATAGTCTACGCCATGGAGCTGAAATAACTTCTTAGGAATACGGGGATGCTATCTGTCAAAACTGACTTCGAAGAGTTCTTAGCTTAGGATGCTCGATTCTCTAAAACTTACTCCATTAAGTTRCCACTTATAGAATTTTAGTGTGCATATAATTCATCTAAGAATACATTAAAGTAAAATACTGACTCAGTAGGTATATGGTGTCCAAAAATTCTGCATTTCTAACAAACTTCCAGGTAAAGCTAACTGATACTGCTGGTCTGTCTATCATACAACCAACAAGGAATTAATTCATAACTTGTGAGTATAGTTTTCTATGAGGGTGAATAAATGAAAAATTCATTTCATGGCATTGGGTCTGATTTAAATGTGTATATGGAAAATAAAAAAATATCTATATCTTTTTTTAGATACTTTCAGAAAAGTCGTAGACCATTTTGGAAGATTGGACATTTTGGTCAATAATGCTGGAGTGAATAATGAGAAAAACTGGGAAAAAACTCTGCAAATTAATTTGGTAAGCTATCTTAGCCATGTTGATTGCCTGAAACTATTTAATGACAYGATGCTCATAGAGAAAATAAAACATGTTACATTCAGAGAAACAAAACAATGACCTGCAACATAGAAAATTGGAGGTTACAGAAAGCCTTCCTTTTACAAATAGGAAGACATTAGAGGCATAATTAAGAAAATAAGTTTGTCTTAAAATATTAGCAGGAAATAGGAAAAAATAAAGTTGCTGGTTTAACTCAGGGGTTGGCATACTCCAAACCACAACTCAAAATGGCCTTCCATCTTGTTTTTATATGACCTTCAAGAGAAAAATGATTTTTAAATGGTTAAAAATAATAATATGAAATACATGAGCATATGAATTTCAAATTTCAGCATCTATAAAGTTTAATTGGAACACAGCCACAGTTATTCGGGTTATATATTGTCAATGGCTACTTTCATGCTTTAATGGAAGAATTGAGTATTAAGACAGAGACCTATGGACTAAAATATTTACTACTTGATGCTTTACAGAAACAACTTGCTAACTAACAATTGTCTTAGTTTATATTTAATTTAATATTTATGTCCCTGCTTGTAAATGATAGTAACTAATAATTTTATTTTGTATAGTGTTCCTATTTGGTTCAATTATGCTTTGGCTAATTTTTATCTCCTGGATCTGTCAGTTTCTGAACAAATATTTCAAATGACAAATGTCAGTTTGCCTACTTCTTTAAGTAATTCTGTCAGTTTAGACTCTATATATTAATTTAATATAATATTCAGAGCCTAAATTGCTAATTGCTAGTGAGTATAATTTATTAATCTTTGGTTTGTATTTAAAATGTTATACCTCAATTTGCTGTCTAATATTTTACATCTGTTCTGTATTTCCAGATTTAAAATTTAGTATCTCATGATTTCCTTTTGATTCACATTTGGTTAGATATCTCTTTTAATATTCCTTTATTTTGCAGATAAAAGTAACAATTATATTACATCTGTCTCTTGCTATTATATTGTGAAATCTTATTTTTTAAATTGCATCTAGGAATGAATTTTTATGTTTGTGAATTTAAGCCATTTATATTTGTTCTTACTTTTCTCTTTTGTACTTTAATGTGTACTTTTTTAATGTTTTCATTTCTTTCCTAAATCCACTGGATAGCTTTAATCACTTTCTGTTGGTAAAAATATCATACTTTTTAAATCTTTAATTGCTACCCCTGGCTCATTAAAAACCATAATTTTTCACATCCTTTGCTTCCTGATAAAACAAAAATTTTGGATATATAGCCAGTTGAGTACCACCGCAATTTTAAATAATGATTTATAAACTTATGTCATTTTCCCAAACCACATAAAATGACAAGAATTTTTTAAAATCTAGCTATCCCAGTGAAAAAAATCACAAAAAAATATGCAATATTATTCTCCCTTCAGCCTTACTACTTATACTTTTAATAGTTTTACCAGTAATCACTACATATATTATTCTAAATAGAGGTTATCAGAGTATAAAGATCCTATTTACAGTGCATTCATAATGAACACCTCCTGGGTTTTTTTTTTCTGAGTCAAAAACAGTGTGCAATGATGAGAGTTAAAGAGAGAAGCATGAAAATAGTGAGGTAGTTATCACAAAGATCTGGGTTCAAATGATTTGTATTCATCCAGCTAAGAGAGCGTATTTGCTCTAATTAAGTCTGTAAGAATGAATAAGCACCTGCTCTAAGCTGGAAAGTACCTACATCATCTGTAAATAGGAAATTCTTACAAACCAGGAATTTTTATTGTGATCTCTTTGGCTACAACTAACTCTCCTGGATTCTTCCCCATCGAAATTAAGCTAGTCCTAAATTTCCTTGGGACTCTGCTGACATAGACAAGTTCTTTGCTTAACTTTAAGGATTGATGGCATTTAGTTAATTTTACTTACAACAAGGCATAACCTTTACTACTCATAGCTTCAAAATTTGTTACTTCCCCTGCTACATACAACCATTACCAACGTAAATCAGAGTCTAAAGAATCCTTCTTTTTTTCAACTTTATTATCTCAGAGTAATGCAAACATTTGTGTGTAGTTATGTAATCTTTGCTTGTATGTTTTTGCCTCCCTGGTCTTATGTTCATGTTTGTTCTTTTGCATGTTTTTCCATGTTAATTCCCATGTCTGAGCATAACATGGAGTTTTCCTCATATCTTTCCACATATCTTTCCTTGGCTTTTTTTTTTTTTTTAGTGGAAGATGGAATCCAGGGAATTGAATATGTTAAACATACTAACATTGAGCTATACCCCCCTACTCCATATCTCTCCCTCTCCTGAAATCTTATACAACATATTTCTATGATCCCAAGGGACAAATTTTATTAACATTTAGTTATGTTAATAAAATTTACAAATTTTATTAAAATTCTTTTAATACATTTGTAATTATGCTAGTAAATCACAAACTCTTATAAGGTAAAGAACTATTGTTTTGTGTCCTCACATTTATTAGATAAATGGCCATTATATATCTTATATGCATGGATATTCATTTCCCTGTTTTAGTACAATATTTAGGTGATTTCCTAATAGATAAGTGCTGCCAAACAGTGTCATCTGTCCTTCCACTTTCATTACTTACCAAACTTACCCCTTCCTTATTCTTCATCTGCCACTCTTCCCACAAGAAAGATACACTAAACCTCTTCCCAGTCTTATTTCACTAGACTGTTCTATGCTTCCTCCTCAATCTGAAGCTAGAAGCAGCGGTGTTCTTCATAACTGCTCAAGGAATGTTCAGGAAAAAAAATGAGCCTTTGCAAAGCTATTAAAAGTCACTCTGGCAGAGGTAAAATTAACTTTGAGTTTTGGTGATTGTGTAATATTGTAATTCTATAATGTAATTTTTAACTTTTTGAAACTTTAATGAAACAAAGTAATTCAGCCCCATTCAGGTGGAAATTATAATCTAGTTTGGACCTATAATGAACATATATTGAGTACTTTAGCATATCCAAGTAAAAATTAAACAAAATAAATGGCTGTTGCTGGTGATTCCCCATGCCCCCCAAACTAAACTAGTTTTGCCTAAAGATTTGCTGTGGAAAAGATATGAATTTGGACTTAGTCAAAACTAAAGTTCAGTCCTGAACCTACAATTTATAAACTGTTACTTAATTTCTCTGATATAGAATTCCCCAGTTTGTAAAAGGGGGAAGATAAGCTCCTTACCTCTGAAGATGGCTAAGCTTAAATAGACCATAGTTTTTGTGAAGCATCTAGCACCATGCTACTGCATAATATTTATTCAGCAAATTGTGTTCCTTCAAATATCAAAACATACATTTTCTCACTATCTGAGTTTTATGAGAGCTTCCTCTGCCCTCCTCTAATGAGTAGTTGAGGAAAAGGATAGGAACATTATTCTTACATGTGCTGCTCCCTTTTCTTGACACAGTTGATTGCAAATTAAATTAGTATTTATTTCCTGCCATTGCTACTCTGTAATATTGAAATATGCATTTGACCTATCTTGGGACAAGTTTGCTAAATTATAAGTAGCAAGAAGGAACAGAGTAAAGTTTAGTGCTAAAATAAGAAAGAAATGGGAAAATTTGAACAGTGAAAAAAAAGGATGAAAAGGGTTTTCAGGAAATAATGATCATCTTTATYAATATTGTTTGAGAACTGGACTGGACAAAATACAAGGACTCTGAAAATCAAAGTYGCATGATTTAGATGTCTGAATATTTTCCAAGTACAGTACAGTGCAAAATTATAAATAAACTAAGAGGAACTACGCAGTGGAAGGAGATGAGATAGGGGAAATGGAAATGAAGAATTTACAGATTAAAAATATCAGTAGTGGAAAAAAAGTGTGTGTGTGTGTGTGTGTGTGTGTGTGTGTATGCACACACACGTGCCCATGAGCACATCTGTGTATCATAGGAAGACATGATACTTGATAAGAGAGTTCAATAAATAGTCTGTTACCATTTGGCCACTTATATTTACTACTAGAAAATTATTCCCAGCGTAAGGGAATTTATGAGAGTGATTTTAATTTATAGAATGCTATAGTTAGTGGGGAAAAAAACAATATTTGGAATTCAAAGCAATTAAATTTCAGTATTACAGCTAAAAGTTATCTCATTAACCAAAAGCATAGAGTAAACATGTTGATTTAATTGTTTTGCCAATAATTAAAGAATTTTTTACTCTCTATATGAAATTAAATATAATATTTTCTTTAAGAGTCAAGTGCAGAATTTTAACTACCTTCACAAAGTGGACTAAAATGATGTCATAGATTCAAGTTACTTTGTGTGTTTGTATTTGAAAATGACTGTAATTTTTTTTCTAGATGTGTGATATTGTAATGACCCAATCTATATGATATATAAACATTGCACAAGGTGACAAAAGAAACCATTTCTTAACAAAAATATTTTATTCTATAGTGTTCTAACAATTCCTTGTGTGTGTGTGTGCGTGTGTGTACATGTGTATGATCTGGGGTAGGAGAAAAGAGTGTTATTGTAAACAAAAAGAGGTGAAAAATATCACAACCAAAGATTTAGACCTGCCTTGTAGATTCAGTTCTTCAAATGATAAGAGAAAAATAGTCCCTTGTTCTCCTCTACCAAAGAGGTAAAAATAAATTCTCTTTCAAAAAAATGTAAAATAAAGTTTAAATCTTTCCAAATTTTTTTTTATCTGGCTGCATTTTTATGTTGAAAGCACAAAATCATGGAGTAAGGCTGTGAATACTTGGTAATAAAAGCCTAGTGCCAATGCATGTAAACAGAAATTCTGTTCAGACATGCTGAAGACTTGGGCAGAAACTAACAGAATCTGACTTCAGTAATTTTAGCCATCTACATTTTTTCCTTCTTATATAAACTTTGCTTTCTATTTACTGTTCAAAGGAATCATGTGAAAGATTTTATTCATCTTCCCTAAGCCCACTTCATCTCAAACTGACACATGGCCTAAGTGAATAGAATCTTCAATTGGGTTTTCTGTTCTAGAACTACTTTTAGGAAGGAGAGGCATTTCTGAATACTTGTCAAGAAAACTCCAAAAGGACCTTTTAAAATAAAAAGAAGGTAAACACAAATACATGCCCTCAGTTTCAGACTCATTACCTACTAAATCATTTTCTTTGATATTGTAAAGGACAGAAAAATAGAAATTGAGATGTCAAAGAGAATTTTCACTTTTTAAAAGTCTGAGCTTGAAGACAGAAGGATTCCTAGATCTAAAAAAAAATAAAATAAAATAAGGCTTCAAATATCAGTTTTAAATCACAGGTCATTTCTGGTAGTAGTGAATTCTTAAATAGTAGAATAAAAGCAGGAAGAATTCCTACATGTGGAGGTAAGTAGCTAATTAGTAAACTACCAAAAAGATAGCTATAAGCAGTGTTGAATAAAATTAAGTATAAACATTACTGAAGACCACGTGTCCAAGTAACAGAAACTCTCTGCTCAAACTAGACAAAACAATGATGTGATTTCACACAACCCAAGAGTTCAGGATTATTTGATACTGAACATCAGTGATATTGTTAGGACCCAGTGTCTTTTCTTCTCACCCACCTGCCATCTTTTATCTTAGCTTCTTTTTCCTGATGCTAGCAGTATGACTGTCTGTTCCATTCATCACACATATACAAGCAATGCATAGGGAGTAATGTAACTATTTCTTCCCAATTTTAAGAACAACAAAAAATTTCTCCACAGCATCCTATCCTTCACCACCCCCTCTCTCCCATCCCCACCTCCAGTTGACAGCCACTCAAGTCTCTCTGTTGAGAATTGGGTTATACGCTGTCTCAAACCAGCCATTGTCAGGGAGAATGGGACTTCTGTGACTGCATTAGATTAATCAGCTTATACACTGAAGCTGGAGAGATCATCTTCTACTGTTTTGGGGTGTTGCTGTTATTGTTGTTGTAGTGGTGATAGTACTGGGATTGAACCCAGGGGTGTTCTACTACTAAGCTACATCCCTACATCTTTATTTTATTTTGAGATAGGATCTTGCTAAGTTGCTGAGGCCAACCTCAAACTTGCAATCAAGTTATAGACATGTGCCCCAGTGCCAACTCCTCCTACTGTACATGAAGACAATGTAGATACAAGAACAAATGGGATTTTATTCAAAAAAAAGAGGAGAAAATGAAAATTATAGTAAATCAAGAGTAGCCACTATTCTATATTCTAAGGTCCAAGAGAATTGAATGTGCAGATGAATGGGCATATCTCATACTTGGATATGAGAACCAAAGAGAGAGAAGGTAAATAAATTTTGTAGCCACTATTAAGAAAAAAAAAGAAGGCATAGAATTCTCAAAAGATACTGAAATTGAGTTAAAGTTACAAAACCCTATTGAATCCAATCTTTATAATAAAATTTCATATTGGGCAACTAAATAAAGTTCTGTAGAAACATGACGGACTACAAAACTGTTAGGMAAACAAAAGAGGGAATCCAGGATCAATAAGTACCTTTAAAACAAATAAACAGAACCTCTTTTATTGACAGCACTTGCAGAAACCTCACTGGATGTATGAAAAAATAACAACTTTGTATACAATAAAGGCTAGTGGCTATAATGCTTTTTCCTTTTATCCCTTTTGATTAGGTTTCTGTTATCAGTGGAACCTATCTTGGTTTGGATTACATGAGTAAGCAAAATGGAGGTGAAGGTGGCATCATTATCAATATGTCATCTTTAGCAGGTAAGGATAATTATATTAAGAGTTATGTTTTCTTATTGCTAATTTGACTATGCAAGTAGATCTTTAAAGTATATTGATTAACTCAGGTTTGAAATTAAGACTTTAAATTTTTGTATTTTTATATTTCTACGGATATTTCTACAGCATAATAGTAAGTATTTGAACTATATGCTTATTTTAAGTTGCATATTTTTATTTCATTTTAGCACTGTATTTTTTTWAAATTATAAGTTTTCCCCAGATTTACTATTTTTAAAGATTATTGTGATACTCCTAAGCAATAAGGCAAGTAAAAGTCACTTTGACAAAGTAGAAAGTACTGAAATGAAGTTAAACTATCTCTATTCTGTTATTTTAGTAAAAGTATATAATTATAAAATATTATATATATAGTGATGTGCTAAACTTCTCTAATAAATAAACCCCAAACATATCAGAGTTTATGTATTGTATGTGCTTACTTCTCTCCCATGTAAAAGCCCATAACAAGATCCTTGTTGCAGGGCACTCTATGTAGTCATTTGTGAAACTTGGGTAACAGGTCTACATCTTCAACATTGAGCCTTCCAGGGTATTCTGAAATTGGTGGAGTCCTTTCTCTCTAGCAGAAAGAGGAAAAGAGCATGGAGGAGGTGTAGTTACTCTTTTAAAACCTGTATCCCAGAAATGGCAAACTTCACTTCTGCTCATGTTCCAGTTATGAACTTGATCTCACGGATCACATTTTGGGCCGTATATTCTAGCTGTGTGCAAAGGAAAAAACAAATTATTTCAGTGGAGTGTTGATCATCTGTCACACAGAATATTGATGGATTGATGCCTGCAAGCAATCCAAGACAATATTTCATTCAAGAACAGTATGATTTAATATCAGCTGATATCTTATTCCTTAATGGCAATTATAAACTGCTGACAGAAATCTTTGGAGCAACTTAGCTAAGTGACTTTACTTTTAAAACTCTAGGAAAAGATCATTAATGATTCTTGAAGAGTTTGAGTGAAATTATTAAATTTAAGAAAACTGATCAATATTAGAAAGCAAATATGAACTACTCGTGTCCAAAAAGAGAGGCTTTCTTAAATTGCCTGCTTGGTTTCAGTTAGTGTGGAGATTTCAGAGTAGGAATTCTCCACCGCCTCCCACCCTGTTCTCCCCAGTGGTATTTGGGGAGTCAAGTTTGGAGGTACCTGTGACTAAATGAGTGTCTGGTTCTCAGCATTGTTCCTCATGTCTCTAAAAATCACTGTCAGATGGTCCTTAAGCCACTGCTGCCAGGAGACATTTAGAGAACTCCTTTACAAGTTCTGAAAAAATAGAATAATTTCTCATTTTCTCTATTGCTTCAGGTCAAAATGACATCCATAAAGCTATTACAAACATAATTCTATAAATCATTCTGGATAATCTGGTTACTTTTCCTAATAGGACACGTACTTATAAATTATAACATTTCAAATAAAAGTTAAGAGCATGAGCAATACTTGAGAGATGTGAGCTCTAGAGAACAGGAAGTTTCACTTTCTTGGCTTAGCCCTAATTCAAARTTAAATTTACACTGCTCTAARAGAAAATTATTTTAAAATTATAAGAAATTCATACAAATGATTGGAGAATTAAAAAGAAATATTTAATATTTTCTTGGAAATGTAAATGTACAAAAACCTGGGGACTGGGATCCAAAGATAATTCTATGGATTCTTATATGAAGCTATGAGGGCTAGCAAAGCTTAGAGAGCCATGAACACTATACAGAGAGCTCCTTGCTTTTATATCACTGGAGGCACTGATTATATTCTTGGGAACACTTGGAAAGCTTCAGGATTGGATCATTTTAGGACTCTCTGGGAAAGATTCTACACCATGCAAGGAGGCTTACTTGCTTTAAAGAGGAATAATAGGAGGRTGCAATGTAGTACTACTGCCTTTTATACAATGAAAATATTTAAAGATATGATAATAATTAACATTTATTGAGCACTTACTATTTACCTATGTATTAGCTTTCTTGCACTATCATGAAATACCTGAAATAAGTAACTTATAAAGAGATAAGTTCTAGAGATCCAGTCTAAATTAAGGCAGTCTTTGACTTTGGTCCTCYTACAAGGACACCACATCATAACACTAGTGTGTGGTAGATCAAAGCAATTATATCCTGAGCGAGGAAGCAAAAGAAAGAAAGGATTGGAAGTGACACAATCCTATTCAAAGGTGTGCTCCCAATGACCTAAAGACCTTCCCAAATGGCCCTACTTTCTAAAGGTTTCCCTGCCTCCCAATAGCACTACCCTGGAGATCAAGCCTTTACTACATGAAACTTTGGGGAACATTCAATATGCAAGTGGGTACCATTTTAAAGACAATGTATGTGTTCTCATGATTAAACCTTCCATAAAATCTTAAGCTTTGGTCCCATTGTGTATACATTGTAAAGTCCTTCAAATATTTGAGGAATTTACCAGAGTCAAAAGTTCAAACATGGCATTGAAAAGAGCAATTTAAGGCTTACAATTTATTGTCCATTTTGCTTTCTTGTCTAAAAGTTTACTTTACCATACTACCCACCTCTGGGAGTTAAATTTCTTAACTGTCTCAGACTGGAAGCATGTATGAGTCTTTCTCTATTCATGTAGATAAAATGATGAATTAGTATAAATTCAATGATAAGATTGCTTTGGTTTCAAATTACCTTTCTGGCATTGTTATGATAATTAATATTATAGTGTTCCAAACTTGTTCTTCCTCTAATTTGTGTCCTAACATGCAAGGCAACCCCCTAAAATGCTTGGTTTGTTATCTTTTTTAGTTTGTCCTTATCATCCTCCCTTCATAGTGCCAACTTCACATGTATGTTGTCTATATTCTGTTTCCTTGTTTCTGGAGGCCAATCTGTAGGATCCCTACTACCTCTCTTTCACTAATGTGCYTTCATCTCACAAAGAGTCATAAAAAAATTGCCTTGTATCTTGTCCATTAATCAAGAACCTCTGTTCTTCCCACAGTGATATTAGTTTGATAAAAAATTCAGACTATAATATTAATAGAAGAAGGGAAAAAGGACACCTCATTCTTTATCATTTTCTCAGAAACGGTATCAACAATTTTATGCCCTTGAGTCACAGCACATAGGAGTGGCCACATGACCAAAACAATCTTTGAGGGATTATCAAAGCCAAAGTTCTTATAATGTTTGTTTTCTGTTTTCCAAAACTTCCTTTTTTATTGATTTTTTTTTCTGCTCACTCTAGTGAAGGCATAGCCATTGGCAGTATTCAGCTCTACTAGGGTCTATCCTCATGATCCCTTTGATTGATTCAGCAGAGTCCTTCACTGTTGTAGTAAAACCTAAGTTGACATACTGGTTTGGGCAGAGAAGTTAATGAGTAAAGACTACTGACGCAGACAGAGTTTCAAATGCAATTAATGGATTTAACAAACAGACTAGTAAAGTGGAGAGAGATTCTTCAGCATACTGAGGATGACTGTGCCCAGGTCTGGAGTCCAGAAGTTGTTCTCATTGTTGTTGAACACGTGGACTCTTACATATGCATTGTTGTTTACAACTTACAATCATGCGCTCTTTTTGTCACATTTGTCCTTAACTATTAAAAAAAAATGTTGGAAGGAACAACAGAGAAGAATGAAGTCTGGTTTAATGCAGATAAATAATGACTATCCTCTAAGACACCCCATAAAAGTCAGATATGCTTCTTACATATTTAGTTGCTTCAAATTACAGGAAAGAAACATAATTATCACAGAAAAAGAAATTTACCCAACAGTCCTTTTCAAAACTGCCTACATACCTCAGTAGCTTTAGTTTTCCCTAGGAACATTCACTATGTCTCAGAAATAAGTCACTCAGTGATATTTTGTGGGAGATACCATGAGGGTATTATTTACACAGAATTTATAACATTAGCAAATCAAGAAAAGATTTGAAAATTATAGAAATTTTTTATCATGTCTAAATAACAGCTGGTGACATGTCCACTTGTATTATGAGTTTTATATAAAATAATTAGCTTGTACATAATGTTAAAACAGAACTAAGTTACTAATTAAAATTAAAAATTCAGGTTTAACATATATGTTAACAATTGCCTAAAGGAAATGAGGATATAAAGGTAATTAGGCAAGTTTCTATCCCAAGAATTATAKAATTCCAAGACTGCAAAACTAAACAGTCATCATGGCATAAATTATTGAAATAGAAGCTTATTTAATTTGGAAGGTCTTTGGAAATATTAGAAATATCCCAACAGCTAAAAAACAATATTTGCACTGAAATGTCCCAACAAACCAGATATTCTAGGCAAAGTAAAACATCGATCACTTTTCTTTATTTTCACGCCAAAAGCAAAAAGAAAAATTGGTTTCACAGTTGCACCTTATAATGATAGGGGCCTAACACTTATTTAGCAACTGCCAAGATCCAGGCATTGTGGTAAACTATTGTTTAACAWGATAGTGCATTAAATTATTTTTTAAGTTTCTACAATATAGATTGATTTACAGTTAATCCCGAATAGGTCACATAACTTGAAAAGCATAATAAGAATGAGCACAGTGGCAATAAAAGCGATTTTTTTTTCATTATATTTCAGCATATGAAATAGAATGGGTGAACTACTCTAGTACTGTCTGGGTCTTAATTGCTCAGGTGCCAACTGTCAGGAGTATATGAGCCACCCCTCCTGCTAGTACTGGCTTAGTTCYCTATGCCATTCCATGGAGACTGGTGTTCATTTTGCTCTTTTAATAATTAGGAAGACACATATTAGAAGAATTAGTAATAAAGGTTAAATATTTATTAACAAGCCTTTTGAAGTATGCATAAAATATTTAGCTTCTCTTAGTATCAGAAATGAAGACCTATTAGGAAAGGACATCTCAGTTTCCTCTGATATTAGCACAAGCAATGACTGAAATTTTAGGAAGGAGGAATTTGGAAGAACACTAGGAACAACTTTCGAGAATTATCACTGGAAAGTACCAT